AGAGAGAGAGAGAGAGAGAGAGAGAGAGAGAGAGAGAGAGATTGTGAATTAGAAAGCCAGCAGGCCTACTCTGTTTCCTGAGTCCTTGTCCTCATACTATCTTGTCATATGAGTCTTAGGAACATTGACTCTCTCAGGGTAGGGATAAGGACTTGTTTTTATGTTCCCAACATAGCACAGTACCCAGCTGCTGTTAAGCTCAGCTGCTGACTGGTGGATGGAGGAAGAGAGGGGACAGATTTAGGTAGAAACAGGAACCCTATATATTATGAAAGCTTGAAATTATCACCACCTGGAGGGAAGGATGGGGCCAGGGACATGTCTGGGAGCATTCCAGGAGCATTGTGAAAGAGAGCCCTAAGCTCTCTTTCAGATGGCTTATACCTTGTTATTATCATATGCTCAAAAAATAAGCCAAACCAGCCTCCTTCCAAGGCCTTGAAGGCCAGTGCTAGGCTGATGTCACTGTAATTTCATTCCTGCTTGTCCCCCTAGATATCTTTAGGGTGCCACCCAATAGGCCTGACTTCCTGTCACCTGCTTTCAGACAAGTCCTTGCTTGGCAGCTGTGAGCCAGGGTCATTGGACAGCTTCATTTTGCCTTTGTATTTAGAATGTAGATTACATGTGAGGCATGAAGGGTCAATAGAGACTTGTCAGTGTGGAAAGTTAATTCCCACAGTTAAAGGAGAGCACTAGGTCAAGTTCCATCCAGACTGTCTCCTAGCTTGCTTCTCACTATGGGCACTCAGCTGAGATCAGGAATGTAACCTGATGGTCATGGTTTATTGAGACAGGGTCTGTCACTGGCCTGCAACTCAACAAACAGGCTAGGCTAGCTGGTCAGCGAGCCTCAAGGATCTGCCTGCCTCTGTCCCCTCAACTCTGGAATTACAAGCATGGACTACCACACCTAGCTTTTTATTTTTATTTATTTATTTTTGAAGTAAGTTCTGGGGACTACACACAGGTCCTTCCGCTTATAAAACCAGCACTTTACCAACTAAGCTATCTCCTCAGTTTCTTACGGCTTCGTTTCTTGGTGTGGTTGCTTCCCCATGCCTATAGAAGATGAACATAGGAGCTAAAGTTAGGATGTATCTGTACCAATTTACTCTTAGTATAACCAAGGTCTCCTGTACACACCAAAAAGTACAGAGCCATGTGATGTAAACCAGAAGGGCTTTGTCCAATTGACAGTTTCTCAGACACATTTGCCCACCTGGGTGACACTGGCCACTGGGGTGGCCTGGCAAGACCATATGTGACCCCTGGCCTGCCACACCTGTTCCCCCTTAATTAGCCACATTACTTTACTGTCTTCTCCTTCCTCTTCTTCAGCGATGTGCCGGGCAGGTGGTTGAAGTCCTTGTAGTACAAGCACTTCTTGGGTGGTTGTGTCAAGACAGCAGCAGGTTGTCTTTGAGCACGGCTAATTTAGCCCGTGTATTTTGCCCTGCCCGCCCCTTGCTCAGATCAAGTCAAGACGCAAGTCAGGGATGCCAACTCCATGCAGACACCCAGACTCCGGGGAGGTTGGGAACAGTGAGGAGCACATGTAGAAGGTAGCACAGGCACTGAAGGTACCCTGCTCCCTCACGCCACTGTGTTCACAATCAAGGAGGCTGACTTGCCTCTTAAGCTCTCTTCTCATAGGCAAATGGATGTCTTGCTCTAGGCAGTGTTGTGCCTGACTGTATGATTCAAGCCAAGGCTGGAAGATTTTGACTAACCGGCCAACCTGCTGTTACAGAGGGAGAACTGGTATCCAGAAACTAAGGGTTGGGAGCAGAGGCAAGTAGACTTTCTTTTCACCTTAAACTATATGTGGCCCTTAGCAGGGTTAGGATATTTCTAGTGGCTAATTAGAATTTCACTTCCTTCGTAAATAAAACAGGTGGCAACTAGGCCAAATGGCAATTCTTGCTTCATTTCCACATAAACACAGCCCACCCAAAGAGCAGCCTTCCACCAGTGAAAGAGCTTGGCTTGCCAGTGTCCGCTGCCTTTCAGAGCTGGGGCACACCCCACGCCTGTCACTGTCAGCTGTCCTTTGTCCCGTCCACTGATTGGAAAGGCTGGGGTCAGAAGTGCTCGTGTTCCTCAACTCTGCATTCATTAACACCATCAAGCTGGTTTCTTGCCACAAGAGCATCTTAGAAATGCTTTGGGCTTTTGTGTGTCTAGCTTTTTAAGTCATGTTCTTGCTAATCTGGGCTCTCGGGATAATAAATGCTTCATTTGCAATCAGGGCCCTGGTAGGCAGTGTCCCTTCTAGGTCCCAGAGAGAATCAATCAAAAACACTGGGAGCTACAAGGTCACAGTGACGAGGGGCCATCCTACCCCTCACACCAGGATGACCCTATCCTGGGCTTGTCCAAAACCCACCATCCCTACCAGAAACCACCTTGATTTCTTTTTCTAATAAGTAATGCCCAGAACATTAAAATGTTTGCATAAAGTTACCTATGTTTGTGAGTGTATACATGGGTATGCACTCAAGTAGTGTGTGTGTGTGTGTGTGCGTGCTCATGAGCGTGCGTGCATGTGTGGGTGGGGGTAGACCAGATGTTGACACCTGGCATCAGGTATCTTCCTCACTCTCTATTTTATTCATGTTTTGAAATGGAGGCCTTTCACTAAGCCCAAAGCTGATTCTGCTAGGCCAGCTGTTTAGGCAGCCTGTCTCTCACCAATACTGGTCAGGTGTGCACTGCTGAGCCCAGTCTTTACTTGGGTACTGGGATCTGGATTCAGATCCTCCTAACATCTGCCAAGCCTCAGACATGTGTGTATCACATACACGTATCACTACATGTCCATCAGTTCTGTTATACATTAAACATGTTTTTCTTCAGACTTGTTCTAAAGCCATCTCTCCCCTACTAGAAAGTTCCTTGAGTTCTCATTGAATTCCAGCCGCCCCTGCACCCTCTTGTATAGGGACATCTCTGGGAGCAGAGGGCAGGGAGAAGGGCCTGGAGGGGCACAGTAAGTAGCCCTGGACTCACTGAAGTCTCCTCTCTTTAACCCAGGACATCATCGAAGGAGGTAGCCTTCGCATCCCTCTCCAGGAGCTGCATCAGATGATCCTGACGCCCATCAAGGCCTATAGCTCTCCCACTACTCCTGAGGCGCGCCACCACGAGCCTTCGCTGATGGGCCCAGAGAATCCAAGCGCCGACTGCAAAGACAGTGCCACGGTGGCCAACAGCGTCACAGTCAGTGCCTCAGCCGGCGCCAGTGGTGGGCTGCAACCACCCCAGCTGAGCAGCTGCGATGGGGAGCTGGCTGTTGCACCTCTGCCAGAGGGGGACCTCCCTGGGCAGTTCACACGAGTCATGGGGAAAGGTACTGTTCTCTCTGGGAGCCCTAGCCAGAGCCAGGGGGCTGGGATAGGGTGAGGGAGAGCTAAATGAACTTCCTGTCCCCGTAAGTGACATTAACATCCCTAGAGAAGCAAGAGGTTTTCCTATGGGAGGTCTCAACTCCAGCCTGTGGACCCGTCCGTCTAAGCATGTTAAGCCCTACTAGTACAGCACCTATTGGGCCTTGAACCTTAGGGGAAGAAGGTGGGACAGACATGGAAAAAGATGTTTCAGAGTACAAAACCCCATTCAACCACTGACCCCTCCCACGGCAACAGTGGCTAGGAACTGGTGAAGCCCCAGGGCTGAATCTCCAGACTCTGGGGCTTCCCAGTCACCTGGTAATTTAGTCAGAGAGAGAGTGGACGTGCCTTGGACAACTCAGAGAACAAAGCTGTTCTGTTCAACTTCCCCGGTTTACACCCCCCCTTCACCTTTTATCTACCTCACCGGATGCTCTGGTGGTCTTGGGCTGTTGGCTTGTAGTTGCTTAATAATTCCTGTGTACCAGAGGCTGGTACACCCACGGTCTTCCTAGGTGACTTAGGCGAACCCCAAACTTCCCATTACACGGTAGAGAAAGGCAAGATAGGGATTTGAAACCCACAGCTTCTCCGCCTCCCACCCCCATAGTTACCAGGAGACCTCGGAGCTCAAGGCAGAGCATAATTGAATTCCGTATGATGCTCGCCTTCGCCTCACTGGTAGTGCCCAAGCCCAAAGACTCACCTGGCACCTGCTCGCTCACTCGCTCACTCACTCGTTCACTCGTTCACCACCTCCATTCTCCATTTCAGACAGATTGTGTGTCTGTTTCCAGAAGCTTATGAACTCTCTCACGCCCAAGGCTTCCCATGTCTGGGGCCAGAGCCCTATTAGCCTGAAAGAGCCCCAGACTTAGAAAATAAGAACCCGTTCTGAGTGGATGCAGGACTATGGTCTCTCCCCAGTTTACTCAAGCAGTGCACAACCTGCACATCTATATATGACAGCTTTGACTGAAACACCCCTTCCCTCGCTCCAGTTTCTTCGCCTTTGCTCTGTTCCCTCATCCTCTAAGTGCCAGCCAAGTCTTCCTATGCTTGAGACAGCCTAGCAGGGCTGCGTGAGGTCCCCATCTCACATCCTCCTTGTCTCCTCATCCTAACTCAGTTCACACTTCATTGCAGCAATCTGTTTGCTTGACTGTAAACCCCATTAACCTAGTGCCATCAGGCCACTTTTAATAGCCACAGGGTATACAGGACCTGACTGATGACCTGATAAGCACCGTGCACGAGATAAGGGGTGGTGGTACTGATGCACATAGCCTGATGCTGGACCCTGAGCACAGTAGCCATGGCCAAACTGCACAGCGTCATCAGGGCAGGACAGAGCTAAGTGGGTCCTGTGGGTCGCACTACCCTTCCTGCCCGCACTGCCCTCTGCCTTCACTGCAATTAGGTCTTTCCAGCCACATCTTTGAAAATGCACCACCTTTGAATAATTTGTGCTGGAGATCCATCACAAGACATTCTGATTATTGAGGGGGAAATGTGGTGAATGCTAGTACTTTTCCTTTAAAAAGGAGGGAGCTTTTTTTTTTTTTTTCCTTTTAAAGGACCAAATTTTCACTCACAGAAGTGGATCCCTGTGCCTTGTAGATGAATGGGCCTTTAAACTCTGATGTGGGGGTGACTCATAGCTTCCCGGGGCAGGGGTGTGGACTAGCTGGCCTGAGCAGGCCTTTTTAACCCCTTCCCACTCCTCAGCTCTGTTGAATCGTGGGAAAGACCCAGCCCAGCAATGTACCTGAACATGCTCTATACTCCTATCCCTATTTACAAGGGATCATGGTGGCGCTCAGCCCTGGGAGATGATACTCCTCAACACAACCTCTGTTGACAATGTAACTACTGTGTGAGAAGCTCCAACCCAACTGACACTCAGCATACACCATATAAATTAAACAGTGGGAAGGGAAAACCAGCTACCTCCATCCTAACCTCCATCCTACTCCTGCCAAGCCTGGCTATCTCCTCTCAAGGGGTGGCTTCTGTTGAATGCGGGGCTGTCCTTTCAGAACCTTTCACATCCTACACCTGTGTGACTATCCATCTTTCCACAGGGTTTAAGACTCTCTCCCAAAGCTTGGTGGGATTTCCATAAATGTTAAATATTCGAATATTTCTGTCAATATGAAAAGCACCGTTCTTTTTTTAAAGTTGCACACTCTTCCACCATGTGCATAAATCACAAGTTATTTAGCAAGGTCCCCCATGGGTAGACCTTGAGGCTGTTCCCAGGTTTTTGTTGCAAACAATGTTATCCGACAGCCTCTGTGTAGTGGCACAATATTAGTGGGGGGTCTGTGTCAGGATGGTTGGAAGGGGAAAGGGGTGAAATCTGATCCCCATATTTCAGGCTTGGTGTGCTTTGATGGACAGATACCCAATTCTGATTCCTTTTGCAGGTGGCCTTTACGGTAAGGTCAGGGTGGGTCGTGAACAGGGTCATAAGAAACTTAGTACATCATCGGTGTCGTAGCGAGTGCTTTTAATCCCATCACTTGGGAAGCAGAGGCAGGTGGGTCTCTGAGTTCAAGGTGAGCCTGGTCTATGGAATGAGTTCCAGGACAGCCAGGGCTTCACATTGAAACCCTGTCGAAAAAAAAAAAGAAAGAAAGAAAGAAAGAAAGAAAGAAAGAAAGAAAGAAAAGAAACAAGCCTAGTACATACATGTCCTCTGCCCATAGACAAACACTGCCCTGCCCTGTCTTTTCTGGCACATGCTTGAGTATGTAGTAAAGGCATGTGTGGATAAATATGTGTATCGCATTGAGAAAATAACCCTGCTAATGACTGAATGGCAGGTTTCTTCTGCTCCATGCACGCCTACATGCTTCACAGCCAAAATGTGGCAACAGACTCGTTCTTCTACACACAAACACCACTGCCTTCCCACCTGGTGAGGGGTGTGTAGTTCATTCATAAAATGCGATTGCTTTCCCACTGTGGCAGAGGGCTCAGAAGGCTTTTGAAGCTCCTTCACTCAGAACCACCTGCAAAAGCAGAGCCTGAGACCTCTGTTTCTTCACTCAGAGCATCTGTCTTCAGGCCTGTGTGCGAGGGCTTAATATAGAATGGTATGACAGGAACAAACCCAAGGAGTTTCTGGGTGAGGGCTCCCGTGGCAACTGAGTGTTTGACTTCAGTGGAATGATCCTCCTGTGTTTTCTGTGAGCTTTATGTAATGTCACAGGCACACGCTCCTCAGAAGGTCTTGGTTCTGAAAGAGACAGATCCCAGAGGCTGGAACCGTATGTGTTGTTCTGATTCATCTTTTCTTAATTCACAGTGTGCACACAGCTCTTAGTGTCCAGACCTGATGAGGAAAATATAAGTTCCTATCTACAGCTTTTAGACAAGTGTCTCGTTCATGAGGTGAGTAGCAGCTGATTTAAACCTGTTTCTCTTGTTGCTTAGACATGCTCCTCAGAGCTTTCTGTGATGTGATCATTTTGGTCTCCAGCAACTTGTTTTTGACAAGTGTGGGGCCATTAATAACAGCTTCGACAGAACTAGGCTGTGGCTGCCTCTAACTGAAACTCTGCATGTGTGTCCCATTGGCATCAGAATTCACCAGACAGAGAGCACTGATGTCTGGGGACGCCTGGGAAGAACTTCAAACTCCAGAAGAATAATAAGTGACCATGCCTGGGGTGACTAACTCCCAGCACTGCTACCCTGCTCCACAGTGTAGTCTTCTTCACATTGTGTGGCCACACATTGTGTCTTTTAATGAGGGAAACTGGGGGAGAGAGGGAGAGAAAGCACACACAAAAGAAAGTGATGGGCAGATACTGATGGCTGCTGGGACTGTCTGGATTTGTGGTTGTTATAGGACCTGGATTTGCCATCTGACCTTTGGAAGGAGATAGAGCCAGGTAGGGTACAGACTCTGAGTACAGCCTTCATGTAAAAGCCCGGAAGAATCCTGGGAGTAAGTAGGATGGTAGCAATTCCTCAGCAATACACAGGCAAAGGCAGCTGGGCCTCAGACCCAGACAATCAGAGGCTCTGTGGATGCCCTACCTCCAAGAGTGATAGGTATAAGGTCCGGATTAGGGAAAAGACAGGGACAGATAAGTAGGGTAGTGAAGTCTTTTGTTGGATTTCGATGTGTGGATGAGACGGCTAGAGCCCCTCACGTGTACTTGTTGCTAGTCAGAACCCCAAGAGTTCAATGAGCCCCAGGGACAATAGATGGCCAGCCTAGAGTTCTGGCTTCACTCTGCCTTCACAGTTAATGTCCCAGTGCCCAGTGGCACAAGTGTCTCTTGCCATTCTTGGAGCCCTCCTTTTTGTGGTCTGATGCTATCAAACCCATCATATCCCCTTCACATTCTCCTGGGGTTCCATCCCAACCAATCACTCTCTGTTCCCTAAGACTCTCATCTCAATAGTGACTTTTCCAGGCAGCATGAACTCATGTAGCCCCTTGACCCAGCCAGAGCCCTCTGCCACTGCGAGCACAGTAATCAACTGTCTAGGTTGTGAACTCGGGCATGCCATTCTCTGAAACAGTTATTCCAAAGTCCTAGACTTTTAGCTGAACAAAAATAACTATTTCTCAGGCTAGAGAGATGGCTCAGCAGTTAAGAGCATTGGCAGCTCTTCCAGAGGTCTGAGTTCAAAACTCAGTAACCACATGGTGGCTCACAACCATCTATAATGGGATCTAATGCCCTCTTATGGCAAACCAGTGTATGTGCAGATAGAGCACGGGATATATATATGTATATATATTCTTTTTAAAAAAATAACTATTTCTCTAATAACTCCAGTGCAACAAGGCCCTGCCTAACACTGGCTGAAGCCCATACTGAAGGCCTTCATTATGTGTTTATTTTAGGAAGCGACAAGACTGCCCTCTGTAAGCCCCAACTAACCCTTTGCTAGTTGCATTCCTGATGTTACACTTGTTTTTACTAGAAAAAAAAGAGAGAGAGAAGGGAAGGAAAGAATTCTGTTTACTTTTAGGAAGCAGCTAGGCACAGTTCCTAGCCCAAGAGGCTTACAACATGAGGGTGCTGGGGGAAATAGGTGTACAAGTTACCTTTCTCTTCCAGTGACCAAATTCCTGGATAGAAACAACTTCCAGACTTTGTTTCTCATGTGAGAAAAGTATGTGAGGCAAGAGAAACTTCTGTTGGTGGAGAGCCTGAGATGTCACTCCCGTTTCTATCTCAGCCCTACACCAGGAAGCAGGGGAAGTCAGGTGAGAACTGGCATGGGTCTATGACCTAGAAAGCCTGCCCCCAGCACCCACTTCAACCATTGAGACCATGCTTTCCAAACCAGCAAGATAGCTGGGACTTAAGTGTTCAAACACATGAGCCTATGGGGGACATTTTACACTATGGTAAGACCTCTGGTGAGGTTCCCTGTCATGTCTCAGAACTCAAATGTGTGAAATGGTGGGCGCCTAACCTAGAGCTGGAACCCAGGGCTCTTACTCTCCAGCAGCAGAAAGGACTGTCTCAAAGCTGAGCCCAGAGGACCAGCCCTAGCACTGTGGTAGACCATGGAGGCCAGGAGCGGGTGTGAGGCTCTCTGGAATTGGAATGAAAAGTAACTGTGAGCTACCTAATGTGAGTACTGGGAATCCAGCTCAGGTCTTCTGCAGGAAGAACAACTGCTCTTAAGCACCAAGCCATCTCTACCTTGTAGAGACAGAATTCTATTTTCAGAGGCCCCCCGAAACCAGGTGTTACCTACCTTCAGCTCACTAGTTGGATGCCTCCCAGCTGGGAAGAGCTGCTCACTTGGCACCCATCAAATGGTGTGCTGATGTCCTGGGGTTGAGGGTGTCCACACTGTCTACTTAGATGCTGTGTGCCACCATGAGAGATGTCATTGACATAATGACATCCTTGGGAGGGCATCTAGCCTCTCAGCCCTGACTTGGACACTCAGTTCTTCAAGTGCAACTGGGCTCTGTAGTTCTAAGACGATGAAGCCATTTGATTTGTGCTGCTATTAGGGCTAAAGTCATCGCTGAGGAACTTACAGAGATCGCCCAACAGGGTGTGTCACCTGGTTGGGGTTTTAGGGAGCAGCATGTATAGAACTGTTTAAGCACATCTTCAGTGTCTACACCCAATGCATTTCATGCTCACAGAGCCCTTTTTTTTACATATTTTTTGAATTAGAAACAAGATTGTTTTACATGACAATCCCAGTTCCCTTCTCCCCCCCATCTGCCCCTACCACCCCCCCCAACTAAAACCCTACCTATCACATGCCCTTTCTTCCATTCTTCCCCTGACTCAACCTTTCTGCTCCCTCATGACCTCTGCATCCTTCCTCTTCTTCCCTTCTCATTCTCGTAGCTCCCTCCCCCTCTTCATGTGTTCTCAATTTGCTCTGGGGTTCTTGATCCTTTCCCCTTCTCCAGGGGACCATGTATGTCTCTCTTAGGGTCCTCCTTGTTTACTAGCTTCTCTGGTAGTGTGGATTGTAGGCTGGTAATCCTTTACTCTGTCTAAAATCCACATATGAGTGAGTACATATCATGTTTGTCTTTTTGTAGTTGCGTTACCTCGTTCAGAATGGTTTCTTTTAGTTCCATCCATTTTCCTGCAAATTTCAAGATTCCATTGTTTTTTTCCGCTGAGGAGTACTCCATTGTGTAAATATACCACATTTTCTCTATCTATTCTTCAGTTGAGGGGCATCTAGGCTGCTTCCAATTTCTGGCTATTACAAATAGTGCTGCTATGAACATGGTTGAACAGATGTCTTTTTGTATGAATGTGCTTCTTTTGGGTATATGCCTAAGAGTGGAATTGCTGGATATTGTGGTAGACTGATTCCCATTTTCTTGAGGAGTCGCCATACTGATTTCCAAAGTGGCTGTACGAGTTGGCACTCCCACCAGCAGTGGAGAAGTGTTCCTCTTTCTCCACATCCTCTCCAGCATAAACTGTCATTGGTGTTTTTGATTTTGGCCATTCTGACAGGAGTAAGATGGTATCTCAGAGTTGTTTTGATTTGCATTTCCCTGATGGATAAGGATGTTGAACACTTTCTTATATGTCTTTCAGCCATTTTAGATTCCTCTATTGAGAATTGTCTATTTATTCCTCACAGAGCCCTTTTGAGTGTCCCCCTCAACTCCCCAGAAAGCACCAAGTCTTCCATAAAAGGACTTAATGACTATGGAAGACTTGGTGCTTTTTTGGGGATTTGAGACCTATCATCTGCCTTCCTAAGACCTAGTGGGGTGAACTATCTCCCAGGTCATCTTGGCCAGCACAGCTATATCTTGTGTCTTCAGCATTTAGCTGGATACGGTAATGAAAATCAGAGAGCCCATTTCCTGCCTTTACTAATGAAGCAGCAATGTCAGCCTTGAGTCCAGTTTTAAGCATCTGTGCATCAATGGACATGTGATGATCATCACCAGCAAATAAGAAGGACCATGGAGGAGAGCCACATACTTACCTTAGATCCATCAGAGCCTCTGCCACACAACCACAGGGACCTTACTACCATGGAGGACAGCCACACACTGACCTTCCAGTCATCAGAGCCTCTGCCACACAACCACAGGGACCTTACTACCCTGGAGGAAAGGCACACACTGACCTTCCAGCCATCAGAGCCTCTGTCACACAATCACAGAGATCTTACTACCATGGAGGAGAGCCACACCAGCCATCAGAGCCTCTGCCACACAACTACAAGGACCTTCCTGTGACCTTTAGTTGGGCAGTCCTCCTTGAACACCCAGGAATAAGGGGTCTGTATGCTGCAGATAGAGTTTCCACCCTGAGTAGTAAGTATCCTTTAGCTTTTATCCACAAAGTTCCCTGGGGTTTACATCCCTAAAGGATGAAGCATCCTCAGGAGAAAATTGGGCTGTCATTCTTTTTTTCAATCTTCAAGAAACCTGTTTCCTTTATAGAAAGCAAGCATTTAGTCTGTAACTCTAGGTAATATTTTATTACTACTTAAAGGATTTTATGCCTTACTGACAAAAACCTCTTGGGAATGTTCTCTGTCATTCCTAATGCTAACCAATCCAACCAGACAGTTTTCCCACACTGTGTTCCAAGCATCATCTCTGGGGGACTCATCTATGACATGGATTCCCTTCCGGACACCGTGAACCCACAATGGTCTACCTGCACAATTACCAGAATACTATCTATAAACTGTTTGCTGGAAACCTTCTAGATATCCATTCACTCATGCTTTGGGGCATTGGAGGGGGCTCTATTCACCTACATACAATAGCATCCCTGGATGATTTTAATGTACTTTATGTGAGAGTCCCTGCATTAGTGATGTGAATCCCTGGGCTGTGGTGAGTGCAAAGGCTATACATCACAGAGAACATGATATAGATTTGTGCTGTGTGCTACAGACAGTATAGATGTGTACTGTGTGGTAAAGATGAGGTAGACATGTGTTACGGACATGAGACAAAATGTCTCCCTACACTCCAAGTTTTACTAGAAGACTTGAGAAGGCATCAGGCCTACCTTCTTCCCTCAACTATAGGCAAGGTTAAGGTCAGGGCTGGTTGTTCACAGGGCACAGACGGTTTAATTAGGGATCTCCGAGAAAAAAAAAAAAAAAGCCGAAAGACACAGAATGTGGCCGTTCTTTGAAGCCCTGCAGACAACTCCAGGGTGACCATAGACCATCAAGCCAATTGATTTTTGGAGTGGCTTAGAATCTCCATTGATTATGAAAATGCAAGGAGTCTACAAAGCTAGAATACCCTAACAATCAATCTTGCAGCTCATCCTTCATTAACAAATAGGGTCCAGGAAAGAGTCATAGGAGGGGAAGACAGGTCAGGGCCTTCCAGATATGCAGCCAGAAAACAAGGTTGTCAAGAGCTTGATGCCTGAACCAGGTGCTCCCAATGCCAGATAACTGAAATCTTCAGCACAGATGGCTCCAATTTAAACTGACTGCTGTTTGGACCAGGTTGGAAACAGGTGAGGGGGAAAAAGGATACTATGGAGACACTGGCGTTTTCCTTTATTAATTGTATGTTTTTCCCTCTAATGCCAGGCTGCGTCACCCATTTAAAAGTCCTGTTTGTTTTTGCAGGCATTTACAGAGACACAGAAAAAAAGATTGTTGTCATGGAAACAGCAGGTGCAGAAGCTCTTTCGGTCTTTCCCTCGGAAAACCCTTCTAGACATATCAGGATATCGACAGCAAAGAAAGTATGTTGGGATTTTGGTCTTTGTAAGGCATAGTGGCTCCCTGGTGCCTCGCTGCCTGCCTCAGTTCCAGGCGGGAATCTGGTGGGGCATCACTCCTTGTTCACGAGGACACCCGGGGAGAGTTCCAAATTACATTGCCTAAAACAGGCTGTGGTGGGAGAAAGGCTGTTAGGAGGAACATTCCCATGGGAAGGGCTAAATTTGGGCACCTGTAACTCAGTTTACATGGTCAGAATGCTGATAGGTGTCTAGAAGCATGAGCTCATGATTTCATGAATGCCAACAACACATGGGTGGTTGAACCACAAAGCGTGGCTCTGAAAGGACCTGAGTGGAGTCTTCTATCGGCACCTTAAGTGGAAGTGTAATGCTTTTCTCCCTCCTCACTGCAGACAAGCTAATTATAGTTGGTGGCAGGGTGAAGAGCCCAGTGCTCATCTATTTTGGTCTGAGCTGCAGCAGTCTAATAGTGGGGCAGTACCATTCTTGATTTTTCATAGTAGCTCAGCTTCTTGGATGCAGTTAAAAATAAGCCTTGTCACACTTCAAAACATGTTACCTTGGTACGACTGAACTGTAAATCGAGAAACCAGGTATATAGAAGATTCGAATTGAAGGGAAAGTTTACCATTGAAATAAAGATGGGGGGAGGGTTGACCTAAGCATGAGCAATGATGGAGAAGATTTGGAAGGAAGAGAGTGACCATGCCACCATTCTAGAGAGAATCTCCATTTTGTGTTACATTTTCAAACATAAGCAAATATTCATTTCTGTCTTTGCACCTAACAGGTTCTGAATTCATTTCTCAGTGCATGTACAAAAAGAAGTTAACGTTATTAAATTGGGAGGGGGCACTCATTTGCATAAGCATGCCTTATCACCTAAAGGAAATAGGGCCAGCTGGAGCTTGTGAAACCTCTTCATTGTCAATTTACTTAAAATTAAGATGTTATCACATTCCACCACACAGCACTGTTATTTATTAAGTAAACGTTTATTTAGCACATGCCCGGTGGTATCTGAGCACTAAAAAAATATGAATTCATTCAGAACTCACAACAACCCTATGAAGTAGAACTGCTATTATTAACTTCAGTTTACAGAAAAATGGATAGGCACAGACACCCAGAAATTGGACCAAGCTAGCCAGTGTTGGGTACCAGATCAGTAGTCCCTATCACTGCAGAGCCAGTCAGCTGTCCTGGTCGAAGGCTTATGCACAGAAGGGATGTGCCTGCAAATTAATACTACTGCCAGCTCACCAGCCCCCCAGCCCTTGGCGGCTGCCAGATCACTCCTGCTCTGAGGCTGCTGCTCAGTGCCCTGGATGCAAGGCCAGGCCTGCTCCTCAACTGCCTTGACTGCTGCCAAGCATTCTTCTACAAGCAAAGCTACGTTTCCCCAGATGAAGAGGATTCCAGGCCCTGTTGCAGTACCCTGTGGAGCCCCCGTTCCTAGAGGAAGCCATGCTGAAGTAGAAGTTGAGGAACCAACTTACAAGCTCATTGCTCCTCTCACCAGCAGCTCAGCCCCTGCCACTGTGCAGTCTGCCCTGTGTATCCTTGATCCCCCATCAAAGAGCTGAGCTGAGCTGAGGGAGAAGCGTGGATAAAGCCCAGCTTCTCCGGACTGTCACCAGGCACTCAGGGCCAGCCTGAGGTCTGCCAGGTCGGAGTCCCTGTGGGCCTCTTTTATGGACTAGATAAGAATGAATTCATTCACCAATTATGGATGTTCAAAAGGATGATGCCAAACCCGTGAAACACAGCCTGCTCGACGAATTACCTCTGGGATATTTTTACACTGTTAATTTGTTTTGAAAAAACTGTTTCTCCCCTACAAAAGCAACTGCAGGCAAGCCCCTGCTTAAATTATCTCACAAATCCTAAATTAAATGCTTCTTATTAATGTTATTTTTATCAAAGACGTTTCATGTGCTGAAAGGAAAGGAAGTCAGTCAGACTCGGGTAAGCAGGGAAGGTGAGATGTAGACACTCAGAGCAGGAGGACAAGAATGGAGACCTTAATTTGTTCTTTGTTCTTTCTCAGGAAGCAAAACGATTTCCTTAAGCTGAGTGGTCAGGAGTGACCTGAGAGTTCACTCCCGCTGTGGGCAGCAGCAACTCTTAGCAAACCTGGCTTAGTAGAAATAACTTTTTGAGGATTACCCGGACAGGGCAGTAACCCCCTACACACACACACACACACACACACACACACACACACACACACACACACACACACACCGGGGAATGTTCTGGGCTTTCCCCCTCTCCCCCCAAACAGTTGAGTTCTAACTCTTAGGAGTCTCAGGGTTCTCCATTCCTCCAGTGACTGCCCCTAACAGAGCCCTCTCTCTGCACATGAGCTTGCTAGAAAATAGTCCTGACCCAGGGCTGATTTTCTTAGGTAGTCCCAGCTCTTGGGTGGCTGAGGCAGCGGAAGGTCAAGAGTTTGAGGCCAGCTTGAACTACATAGTGAGACCCTGTCTCAAAAAAAAAAAAAAAAAAAAAAAAAAAAAAAAAAAAAAAAAGATTTTTAGATAAAAGCTACAATGTTGCTTTCATGGAAGAACAAATCATTTTAGCAACACTCATCTACTACTGTTTTGCATATGAAACAACTTTTTAAAAATCCAGCCAAAAAGGGAAGTGAGAAAAATCTATTCACACTAAATAAGGGATGTGGGGGATCTTAACAGAATACTGATCATCTATCCACCAGGTGGCCCAGATTCTCGCTGTAGAAGCTGAGAACCAAAATCCCCACTTGCTCCCACTTTTTTAAGTTATGTCACTGACTTCCCTCCAAAGACTCTGATTGTATAAAATCACTTAGCTCTCCTCACCCTAATTTTCAGTTTAAAAACCTTACACTTTTTTGGGAGGGGGGGTGGGGAGGATAAGGGAAGAGACGATGAGATAAAGAAACCAAGAAGCCAAGAGTAACTTTTTCTTCTGAATGGAATCTAGAACACTTTTCTTGGCCACAAAAACCTGAAAGAAGACAGAATGCCTGAATTTATCCAGTCCCTTCTCTGCCTAGGAAATTTAGGAAGTCTGAGAGCTTTTGCACTGTCGTCGCAGACACCACCTCCCCCACATTCACGCACAACCATCTCCCGACTTGGGAAGTGAGTGTTGTGAAGTGTGTGTGTGTGTGTGTGTGTGTGTGTGTGTGTGTGTGTGTATGTGTGTGTGTCCGCCCTCCCCCAGTGTTGTGAAGTGTGTGTGTGTGTGTGTGTGTGTGTGTGTGTGTGTGTGTGTCCGCCCTCCCCCAGTACCTCCACTGGCTCAACTGAGTAGGCATCAGCAGTCTCCTCACAAGCTTGGAGAAAACTCCCCAGTTTAGCAACCAAGCGACTCTGCTCCACCTAGTGGTCGTTGCCTGCAACGCATGTCCACTCCACCCTCCTGATTAAAGCTGACTGACTCCCTTGGAAAATATGTGCCAGTTCCTTGAGCCTCCCAGAACCCAGGGCTGGTGGAAGAGATGAGTGCTTTTCTACTGAGCTCATCCGACCCACTGGGAGCAGCCTCATGCGTGGATCCGAAGAGCAGAGCCTTTGCAGTATGAGGCTAGTCATGCAGGAAGGGCCTGGGGAGAGACAGTGCTAGCAAATAAGTCAGCCATCTCATGCCCCTGCTCTCAGGCCTGGAGTCAGCCCCACACACCAGACTGGCCTCTCCTTTGGCGAAGCATCAAGGCTCATTCATTCACTTGTGCCCACTTTCAACCCAGCATTTTACTGTGGAAAAAGCTGACTCATTGATTCGGGCTTGGGACATACGAGGCTGAGGGAGAGTCCCGCCATCCTTTCTTGTATTTCTTTGGCATCGTCTATCCGAGTCTGCCTACAGACAACCTGATCAGAAAGGAACCATGGCACAATCACGGAGTACCAGAACGGAGTCAGATCAGTTCTGGAGCTGATTCTGCTGTTTTGCTTTGTGGCTTCTTGCAAGGCACCATGCCCTCATGCACAGATCCACAGGTTGAACGAGACAAGAATGAGAGAAGGCCAGAGAATATATGGGTTTCCCTTCTGGGCTCATATTTGGGTGCTGCCCCCTGCTGGCTATGTGGCAATCGCAAAATTCTCAAGCTTTCTGGGTTTTTTTGTTTGTTTTTGTTTTTGTTTTTGTTTTTGTTTGTCCAGCTGTAATAATGTTAGGGAACCTACTTCATAGGGTTGTCTCGTGGGTTGAGTAGTGTGTGAGCTCCAACACCCATTATGTGCTGTTGCTTTTAGATAGTAGATGGAGTTTTAATCTTAGCCTGTTATTGGCACTTATCTGTCAGCCCCAAGGAGCCTCTAGGGGCAGCCTGGGCTATGTAGGGGTAGAGCATGCCTGAGACTCTGGGTCCTTTCTCTTTGCTCTCACAGTCGTGGCTTTGGGCAGTCCAACTCCCTCCCGACAGCCAGCTCCGTGGGCGGTGGCATGGGCAGACGGAACCCACGACAGTACCAGATTGCCTCTCGGAATGTCCCTTCTGCTCGCCTTGGTCTCTTGGGCACCAGTGGATTTGTTAGCTCCAACCAGCGCCACACCGCTGCCAACCCCACCATCATGAAACAAGGAAGACAGGTTGGATATGCTCTGGGGAAGCAGGGAGGTTGAACAAGCTCAGGGTTTGAGGCTTTAGGAAAGCCCCAACCCAGACAATCTCCAAAATGGAAAGTGATGCCCCCAGGCGATCTAAACCAAGGGGGATGGCTGAGTCCATGCCTCCCAGGTAACCAGCACTGTTTGTGTTGTTTCCCTGGCAACTGAACACCCTGTGGCTGTTGCTTGGGAAGCCTAGTGCCACATTAATCTCAGGGACCCTCATAGACAGTCATATAAGGGCTGTTTCTGCTTGATCTTTGACCCACCCCCAAAATCCCTCATCATGAGGTTCCAGAAGACCTTGGCATTTAATAAGCTTTCTTTGACTTTTTTAAAATGTGACAAATAGCTATTTTGTCACAGTCCCAACTGCGATGGAGAGTCCACAGGATTAAGTTTGAGGGACTGTCCCCAGCTGTGAGATTGGCAGTGCCCTCTCTGTCCCATGAGCCCAGCACTGCCTTTCCTCAGTGTTCCCTCAGCCCCATGGGGCTATAGAGGTTGACTTTGGAGTACAGGACATAGGAACAGGTCTGACTTGGGTTCTCATGGGAGAGAGGCTTCAGAACAGAAAGGCTACACCAGGAAAGTCTGGTGGCATTCCCTCCCAAAGGGAAGGGCCTGTCTGAGAAGCCCTGTTTCAGTTCTAGAAGAGATCACCACAGGACACATGAGCTGCACCATGCAGGTCTGCTGCCAACATTTAGTCTTCTTTTCTCCCCATCATGGAGTAAATTTGGGGACTCTCAAAAAGAAAATCAAACAAGAGCCCTAAACTCATTGCACCTTTTGCTACAAGCATTTCTAAGACAGCACCTGCCCACCCACCCCCTTTTTTTAATAAAAAAGCAACAAATAGAGTAAAAAGACTTTTGGAGATAGAGAGAAAAGATGACCAGGGTAAGCTCCAGCTTAAAGGAAAGCCTAGGAATGGATATTAAAGGAGTCTAAATCATCTTGTAAATCCACGGATGGGTGGCACTGGCCCTTTCCAAAACTCTCCTGGGATAACTGTCTCCTGAGTTCTGGCTTGGAGCTCCGCTTCCCCACCCTTCGCCAGGGGTTCTAGACTAATGCCTCCCTCTTGTGCGTCCCTCCCTAGAACCTCTGGTTTGCCAACCCCGGGGGCAGCAACAGCATGCCCAGCCGCACCCACAGCTCCGTCCAGAAGACCCGTTCTTTGCCAGTGCACACTTCACAAAACATGCTGATGTTCCAGCAACCAGGTAGGGGCTGGCAAGCCACACCATCCCTTTCCTCTTTCTCCCCTGACACAGGAGGGAGGCCAGGATGCTCTGGTGACCCAGCCGGAAAGCGCTGAACCTCAACTGTCATCACACATTCTTTGGAGCTGCCCAAAGTCTTTCCTTTTTTAAACCGTTCCTTGCCGGCAAGAGCAGAGGCTGCCTGGCCGGGAGCCAGCGCCTGGAGTCCCAGCACCGGTTGCCATCTGACAGGGATATTTTTGACATTTGTCAGATATCTAGATTCCTAGATTGATTAAACCAGAGATAGATATCCCTGGAAGAGTTCCATGGCGGGGAGGGGGGAATGGAGAATATGTGCAAAGAGAGAATAAGACAATGAAAGAGAAACCATGAATGTTGATGTCAATGTGGAATTGCCTAGGAAAATAGAGCCATCGTTTACTGATTCAAGGCCAGTTGGGGAGACATAGTCACAGCCACCATGCGTCCTAAAACAAGCTACCTGAATTCTAGATCCTTGAACCCTTTCTCTGTGCTGGCAGTGACCTCTAGACTCTAGACTTGCAAAAAACCACCTAAACCACGGCTACACCTATCTAGATGTCCCTCCAGGCACAAACAAGAGATGCCCCCTGCCTTTGGGTGCCCTCACTCCAATCTCACAGCCTGAAGCACCATGTCCCAGAAGCAATTATTTAGAAGACTTTGACTTCAGTGTTCCTGCAAATCTTTAAATTTATTTTGAGTATCTACTCTTCAGCTTTTTTTTTTTTTTAATATTATTCCTTGGACGTTGCAAACCCCTCCTTAAGGCCTTAAATCCTTCACAATGGTCAAAGCATGGCAACAGAGCTACTTGAGATTTCCTGATTGCAGATGAGCTGGCGAGTCAACCAAGGGGACCCTTGAGGTTCTGCCCACACACTCAGCACGTTGAGGGTGGTTTCTATAGGACATGGGCTATGAAGGGTGAGGCAGCCACAGCCAAGACCCAGAATCCCTCACTGAGGGAAAGGAAGCTGTGGAGAGTCTCTGCTAAGGGCACATCTCGACCTTTGTCAGGCTTCCAAGAGCTGCCAATCAAACAGTAACTGTGAGAACCTGTCTCGCTTCTCAGTTTCCTTCACAGGAATGCCTCTCACCTCCAGGCTAGACCACACTGGACCTGAGGTAGGAACTAGAAATGGGCCTTTCTAGTCAGGGGAACCCAACCTGGCCAGCCATGGAGATTTCTCAAGGCTTCTGGGCACATGCTGAGATTGGGCAACAAGGATCAGCAAAGCAAATGTGGATTCCATCTTTACAAAGCTAGGAGTAAATGTAAACATAAAATGAATTGGGGATGGTGAGCCCCCAAAACAAATGCTTGTCTTAGGTACAAGGTGTATTTTTCTCCTGGCTTCTTAATGTCTTCGAAGCATCCACTTCAAGTCATGTTTCCAGATCCTGAAAACTACACAAAGTCTATCAAAATAATTGCCTTACAATGGAGAAGCCATCAGGTGTGCTTTGATGATCGGTAGTCACCTTTGTTCAGTTCTACCAAGTGCGTCCCCTCTTTCCAGGATTGCATAGCTGGGGCCTCTTGGAGAACACCTGTGGTGGCTTTCTGCTTTATTTCCACCTGGACAGGTGTCAGGTGTGTCTTGGTTCCACTGGGAAGACCAGCAAATCTGCTTCTGGCTGGCCACTGGAATGAGGAGGAACACAGCAGGGCCTCCTGGAGTGAGCATGACAAGGACTGAGACACCAAAGGGGACTGTGGCTCAACACACATGTGGCACCCAGCAAGAATGCCATGCTGCTCAGCGGTGGGACTTTTTCCCACATAGAAGTCAAACTGGGAAGTTGCTTAGAGAATGATCCTTGCTTTTTGAAGCAGTCCTGTTTCTGTTGAGCCCAACTCAGTCAGAGAAGATATTAGGGTGGCTCTGGCCTGGTGCTCAGAGGCCGTGAAGTTTTCTTATCCCCCAGGAGGACCCAAAAGAAGGGCAGAGAAACAAGAGTCACAAGAAAATCACAGGCAAGGTAGACTTTCACAAGCCTGCATTCTGGAAATGTCACCCTTCACTTGCACAAAACCATGTGCAACGCTCTCATGGACCAGAGACTACCTGTGTGTAAAATGGGTGAGACTGTCCCTTTCAACAGCAGCATTGCACAGTGGGACACCTGTCCTGGATATCAAACCTCCCCTGTGTCCCAGCTCACAATCCGTGTCCCCCTTCCTGGGAATACTGCATACTTAGAAGCCCAGCCCTCTGGGCTGTTGTCCTTCATTTCCTCGTCAGCCTGTGGTGCCTTTAGAAAGGATAAGGACAGGAAGGATGTCACTAGTGCCCTGGCTCCACTAGAGGAGTGAAAGGGGCCACTGTGCACACAAAGAGGCCAGAATAGGGACCGTTTAAAGTATGTGGTAATAGTGTTCCCCACCTCCTAATAAACTTAAGCAAACAGCTTGGCTAGGGTTTAGAGACAGGAGAGGTAGGAGCACTGGTCAGTGAATCAATTCTATTCCCAGCCAAGAATGCAGCTGGGCAAATCCACCTTCCTACCTCTGAGAGGCCACCTGGACAAGATGGTCCTATCCTGTATCATTGGATCCTGTAACTTTTCATAGATGTGTGGGTCCCAGAGAGTGGCCGAAGCACACACCCCACCCCACCCCCAACAGCAGCACAGGTGCAGCTTGTTACTCAGGCTCTCGCACTGGCTGCAAAGATTTCTGTGTGATCAGCCTTCCCACCCCCCGGCTCTCAGCACCCTACATGGGCTAGAGCTTTTCCTTACCGCCACCCTCCCCCTTTCTTCCTTATTCATCCCATTACAGCATTCTGAAGACTCTCTGCGTTTCAGCACCTTGCTACCCACACAAACAGCTGGAAAGACCTTGTAGCTGTGTAGTGAAGCAGGCTTGGTGGTGAGTGGCAAGGTGGATAGTTACAGGTTTCTTGGAGCGCAAGGCCTGTTGTATATACTTAGGTCCCGATGGGATTGTACCTTACCAACAGTGCTATAAAACTGCATGTGACACTCAACACAGAAGTTATTTCCACTTGGGGCAAGCCCCCTGGACTTTTGAAGTGGACTTCATGGCCGTCCCTTAGAAAAGATGGGCAGCAGCTTCCTCCCAGAGTTGAGCGACTCCGGGCGTGAGATTACAGTGCTCTGAAGTGCAGGACTTCCGAAAAGGCACAACTTAAATCGAAAGCCAGCTGGAGAGAAAGCACACTGGCTAAGAGCTCTTCTTGCTGCTCTTCCCATCACTCACATCAGGTGGCTCACAACTTCCTGGAACTCCAGCACTAGGGTGTCTGACGCCCTCTTCTGGCCTCCCTGGGCATCTGCATGCTCATGGCACATACACATCACACAGGCATATACACACATAACTTTTCAAATAATACATCTTTATTTTATTTTTTGTTGTGAGACCACCTTAGCCCTGGACCTTTAATTTTCAGAACCCTTACCAAACCCTAGAATAGCCTAGTGATGAGGGAAAGAAGAATTTAGGACCAGATGTGTTTCGAATGTCAGAGTTTTTCAAATTCCAAATATTTGCATAAAATTTACCCTAATCTGAACGTCTGAAAGTATTGGTAGTATCATGTCCACATGTACAGGATTCGGATTTTGGTTTTTCCTGTTACAGCAGCTCAGAGCTGTGGTCCCAGATGAAGGAACAGACCTCCTGGGGATAATAGTAAGAAGGTTCAAGAAAGCCTTCCTTTTGCGTTACTGAAGATTTGCAGCCCTATCTGTGCCTCCCTTCTTATAGATAACATGACACCTACAAATTAATGGCCAGCAGTACTACCTGATTGTCCCTTAGAGCTAAGTTTAAGGAAGGGTGCGGGCACGACTGAAGGATGCTAGCCAGACAGAAGCTTTGATCTACCTGATCATCCTCTCTGATGTGTGTGGCAAGATGCTATTGGTCTGTTTTTATCAAACACACAATTAAAAAGTCACACCGTTAAGGTTCTCTGAAGCGTGAACATATGGGCTTCTCCAAGACTTGAAATTTTTCAGTATGGCTCTGAGAGGGGTGGGGATCACAGCTCCCCAGAGTGTCAGAGTGAAGAAAATGCAAGCAAACCAACTTCCCACCTAAAAGAGCAGCCACAATGCTGGCTAGGAGAGTCTGGAGCTGAGAGCCCTGTGTTTCTCAGGCTGCTTCCTGGAAGCACACAATCCCAGGCTTGGAAAATGGCATTTTGCTGCGTGTTGGCAAGAAATCCTGCAGCTGAGGCTCTTCTCTCCAAATGTCGAGCGTCTTTATTTATCCAAATCTCTCCACAGTGTTTGTTTAAAGGGGAGCGCTAGAGAGTAAACGCACTCTTCCAGTGAGCATATGGATGGCTATAATTGCTGAAGTTTGTTTTTTTTTCCTTCCATATTTGCTAACTAGCTATATATAAAATTCTGTTTCTATTTTATAGGTTTCACACCCCAAAGGCTGCTAATTTTTGCGTGCATATGATTTTCACATGAATGGATGGAAATACGAAAATACTCTTCCCCCTGGGATGGTCTAATTGCCCAAACCCTGCTCTTACCAGCAGCTCCTAGGTGGGCTCAGGAGAAACTCCTCCCATCCCTTCTGGTTCCCACCTTCCCTAGAAGCCACACAGGCCTCCATCCACTCAGGAGTTGGCCCAGTTGTCTTCCAAACCTCATGGACGCTGCAACTTGCCCCAGAAAGGTCACTATCTGCTGCTTGGTGCTTTTCATATTGACCAGTTTTGCCAGCCTTCTCTGAGAATTTGAAATGATGGAGGTGGCACCTGCCTCTGAATTAGCTGGTGGAGGGGAATGCAAGTTGCAAAAGAAGAGCTTTAAAATTTTTTAAGAAGAAATTGTTACTGTGAGCATGTTTGTGTGTGGGTTTACATGGCACAGCATGAGTGTGGAGGACAGAGGATCCCTTTCAGAGATCAAACTCAGAATGCCAGCTTTGCGAAGCAGGCACCTTTACGCACCAAGCCATCTCACCTACCAGAGAAAGATGTTAATGTATAGCTAATTAGATAAAAACAAATGTTCGGTTTAGCCATTGGTTTCAACTTGATTCCTCACCAAACAACCAACACCTGTCCCTTCAAACCACGTGCTCTCTGTGTAGTAGTGAAAGAGCAAGCAATGCCTGAACTTTGGCCCACCCCATCCCTCCCCCCCCCCCCCCATGTCCAGGGGGGGGAAATCTCAAGGAAAGGAACAGCCTCCCCAGGTCACATAGAAAAGTAGTGACAGTGTTGGTACATCCCAGACACCTGGAACATAGCCCATTTGCCAGCAAATGCTACAGGACTTTTTTTTCTGCTCCTGTCCATAGGATGTCATAGTTTTTCACTGCTGGTGGTAGAAGAGAGACTAGATTAAAGGCACTCCATGGTTCCACAGGAGGAGGCAGGAAAGGGGTGTGGCACTGAGTCCCAGTCAGAAAGAGAAGGCCCCTAGAGCTGCCTTCCATGAGGGAGAGGGGCTAGTCGTACCTGAAAGATGGAGAATACCCCCGGGAGAGGATCATGGATTGTCTATGGCTGTGTGGGAGCTGACTCCTTGTCCTAGAGTAAGCGTCTCAGCTCCTCCAGTCAATGTGCTTAGAGACAGAGTGTTGTGAACAGTCATGGCAGTCACCATAGCAGCAAGAAAATAGGCTCTTCTCCTAGCCCTATGCTTCCTACTTAGTCTTGATGGGCTACCAGCCTTCTTGAACCCCACTGGGGACTGAGTGTGTTGGGCAAGAAAGGAGCTGGCCCAGCAGAAGCATCACTCAGAAGGGGAATGTGCTGGGCTGGGTGTATGGTACTTGCTTCTCAGCATGAAGCAGAATTTCATAGGCTGGGTTTCAGACTCGGTGACTATTGCTAAGCCTGCTCCAATGACACCAGCCCTAAAGTAGGAGCGGCAGATATGTGAAACATCCAGCATTAACAATACAAAGAAAGAAAGAAAGAAAAAAGAAAGAGGAAGAGAAAGAAAGAAAAGAGAGAGAGAAAGAAAAAAGATAAAAGAGTGTTAGGGGAAGGTACCTTCAAGAAGACAGTAGATCCTGAACTATGGAGGCAGAGAAAGAGTGAGCCAGGAGAACGTTTGTGGGCTGACACTGAGGCAGAAAGAATAGTAGTACAAAGGCCCAAGGGTAGAAGAGGACTTGGGATGGAACAGAGGAAAAGGGACTTTTAAGGGAACAGGGATGTAAGGAGGCCTTGCAGAGCATTGCTGGGGTTGGCTCTTATTTTTGTGAGAAAGCCATCATATGGTACAAGCAAGAGTGATTGGCCTATGACTGTGCCTAGCATTTTAGTCATCAGTTTGCTTCAAGCCGCTATGTCTACCATGGGCCTCTGCATCTACCAGACCTCAGAGGTGGTCACTCTTCATGCTGGCCCTGAAGGTCCCCTTGAGTTTTCCTAGGGGAGGCACACTAGACACTTATCCTGGAACCAGGTGACATCATCGATACTTCTGCCATGTCCCAGGAGTCCCAGTAAACAATGTACCCCTTTCTTCCCGCAGAATTCCAGCTTCCTGTGACTGAACCTGACATCAACAACAGGCTGGAGTCCTTGTGCCTCAGTATGACGGAGCATGCCCTGGGAGGTCAGTGTGTCCTCTACACACACCTGGGGCAGCTGGGGAGATGGAAAGGAAATGAGGTCTGATGGCACAGGAAGAGAGCAGACTTGGGGTGCTGTGGAGCCCCTTCCCTGCACAGTCTGCGTGCTCTGTTCTTTTTGTGGAAGATGAGTCAGGGAAATGGAGGCCAGAGAGACCCACACCATCTCCCTAGCCCTGGAAACTCCTACCCTCAGCACACACTTGAACCCCATGGCAGTAGTCCCAGTCAAATGCAGGACCTGGGGGCATCACACACGCACAGACATGGCTTCTAATGGGAGCATCTCCCAAAGCACTGGATATGTTCCCTCTCGGCACTGGATCCATCAGTCTGGGCCAAGCATATCCCAACATGCTCTAAAAATAGAATTTTTGAAACAAAGATCCCTGCTTGTTTTTAAATATCCCTGTTGCAAATGGCTTGTGTGATGCTAGAGCCCCAAGCTAACTGAGGTGCCCTTTGCCACATGACAGGCCCAGGTTGGATACACTCATATTTAACTAGAGCCAAGAACATGCTCCCCAAATCAGTGCCCCCTACTCTCATCAGTCTGGCCTACAACCCCCGTTACACCTGTCCTGGGGGCCTCAGTGCGGTCCTAGGCCCAAGCTCAGGGTTTTGCACATTTGTGGAAAATTGGTAGGAGTGCAAGAGATGAGCTCTGTCTACACTTCCAGCCGCCCCTTCCTGTTCTCCTCTTCCTCCTGATAGCCTATGCCTCACAGAGAGGCTGTTGTGAGCCTCCCAAACAGCCCTCTTCTGCCTGGATACACCTCTCTACCTGGGTGAGATCTGGGTCATTGCCACGCCTAGGGCCCAGCTGAGCATCCTCTGACAGCAGTGGGTAGAAAGGCTGGCATCAGTTACTGCTCCTGAAAACTGTCTTCAAGACCCTCCACCCCCAGCTTTTAGATGTTTAATCTCTATAGACTAAGGATTGTGTGAAAATGCAATCTTATACTGAAAACAAAATAGGAAATAAGTGGTTTACATGGAACAGAGTGAAGGGCTGGAACTCCCCCAGCTGGACTTAAATGTCAGGAGGGAGCTCAAGAGCCCTGGGGCTATCATGACTCTACAGGCTTCTGACCAAACAGAAAAGATCCAGGGAGCCCTGTTTGCAAACCACTGCTCCATCTCTCTGGTCACAGTAATCCTGGAGGCTCACAGCACCTCTGGGAGTTGTCACCTCCTCTTTCCTGCTGTGTCAGCAGTCCCTCAATAAATAATGGGAGACCACCCAAATAAGGATCAACGAACTGTGGTATAGCCATTCAGAGGAATGAATAACAGCCTTGCCAGGGAAGAAGTGCCCATAAACACCCATGGACAAACTTGAAAGCATCACTGGTAGGAAGTCTACAGTCCAGTATACTTCTGCCCCTCAATGTACTGCTGCGTATGGAGCCTGGAGCAGTATGCTACTGCCTTGAGAGTCAGAAAGGAAACCTGACCTCCCCCCACAGGGCCTGATGGACCTCAGATAACTGGCATTTTGGAAGCTCTTATCAAATGGTTAAGTGCTGCTATTATCATCATTAGCAGTGGAAATGCCAAATACTCTTTATTCAAGGGGCGTTTTCATTGAACAGCGCGTGTGTGTGTGTGTGTGTGTGTGTGTGTGTGTGTGTGTGTGTGTAAGCTGGTTTTTCTATTTTTCACAGACTACCTCTTGGAACTGATGGGTTTTCACTGATGTTTTCATCTTGTTAATCTCCTAAACCTTTTTATTGCTGTGGTTTTTGTTTTTTGTTTTTGTCTCAGTAATCCCCTCTTGTGGCTTGCCTCCTTCTAAGCAGTTTCAGGGGCAGAGGATGCAAATCAAGTTGAGGGTGACTTGACCCAGTACAGGAGCACCATGGCCTCCAGCTATGGCAGTGTGTCTATAGCCAGCCCTGTCCAGGTGCCAGGGAAGATAACCTTGCTGGGGACATCATGCCAACAAGTTAAATCACTTTATAGGAAAACAAAGGGCAAGAAGAAAGCACAGTTAAAGTTCTTCTGGGGCTGGGGAAATAGCCCAGTGGGCAAAGTGCTTGCCATACAAGCATTAGGACCTGAGTTCAAATCCCCAGAATCCATGTAAAAAGCTACATGTGGTAGCTTTTGCATGTGCCTGTAAGTGGAGACAGGCAGATCCCTGGAGTTTTTAAGGTAGCCAGTCTAGTCAAATAAGTGAGTTCCGGGTGCAGGAGATACTCTCTCAAAAAATAAGATGGAGGATAATGAAGATCCTGATGCTGACCTCTGACCTACATGCATACAAACACTTGTACTTGTACATGTGTACGCATACATACAGAAATGAGACATACAAAAAGGAAGGAAGGAAGGAAGGAAGGAAGGAAGGAAGGAAGGAAGGAAGAAAGGAAGGAAGGAAGGAAAAGAGAAAAGTTCCTGTGCCATAACTCTAGAACACTGGAGGAGGGCATCAAACCATCTGTATCCCAGATGACCATCCACTGTGGTCCACAATGTCAACTTATAGGTGCCTCTGATGTCTCTGCTCTTCTCTGTTTCCTTGGTAACCGCTGCCCTCCTGGTGCTTGTCTAAGCCCTTTTTCTCTTGACCCTCCTCTTTCATCTCTTCTTTCCCTGAGGCCCCTGCAACAAAACCCAAAATGACACCCAGGTGGAGGGTTGTGAATCTGTCATCAGGCTCTCTGTTTTGCCTATGGTGTGTGACCTGAGGTATTCAGGGAAGATGAGTCTCCAAGCCTCTTATAGAGGGCTCCAGGGTCTACAGGAGACTGCATTGTCAGAGCCTGAGGCCTGAACTAAGGGAAGAAAAGTACACAGTCCTTTTGCAGGGGTTCTGGAGTTCACGCTTCCCCTCCACTTTCTCCTCCCTGTCTCAACTCACCCCTTCCCTAAGCCTTAACAGCCCCATTGTCACAGATGCAGAGATTCTACGCAAATTATTTTCTCAAGGCGCTAGGATGGCATTTATTGCAGTGATAAGTATAAAACCTATGGTACTTGTTTGGGTGTGCTGGCCCCTGAAGTTGTCAGTATACAGCTTTCACAACTGAAAATCCTAAGTGTGGCTTTCCTTGGAAGACATATCATGTGGTTGAAATGCAATGTTAATGTGCCTTGGAGTTGAGCAAGTTGAGATTTTCACACTCCTGGCTCCTCACTTCACAACTATGATGACTTAACATTAATGTGTGAGCCAGAGAGCCAAGCAAGAGTGCGCTATACTTCTAGAGATGTCTACAGACATCCACACAGCAGAGTGAGCTTGGCATGCACTCCTGATCTCCTATGATTGTTGAGCCCTTTGCACAGGCTCAGGCTGACACCACAGAAAGTGAGTTATTGATCAAAAGATCACACCTGTGGGCTAGCTGATGCTCCAACACCCCAAACTGGCAGAGGCCACTGACTCTTCCTAAAATATCTCCCTAAATTGGCAGAACTTACACACATATGCCTGTCCATTCTTTCCTGTACACATGCACACACAAGTACAAATAAAATTGGGGAAATCTAAATAAGATTAATGAGCTATCTAAAAGTCAGTGACTTCACTGTAATGTCCCATTACACCTTTACAAATTGTCACCACTATAGGACCTGACCGGGTACCCGTAGGATCTTGATAGACAATTTCTTACAAATGCATGTGAACCTATAATTATCTCAAAAAAAAAAAAAAAAACTCTCCTCCAAGTTTGAGCTGGCAGAATTGCCAGTATGACAGTACCAGCAAGAAGTCAGGAAACCCCTGCAGTTGGACTCACTACCTTCCCATGTCTTTTTGACCCCTAACTTTCCCTGGAATGCTCAGGTACTTCTATCTTGTCTCTTAGTCTTGAACACTAACTAGAGATGTTCTCTAGCTAGCCATAGTGGGGACTGGACTAGCCACACTGGCTGACCTCAAGAGCTCGTCAAGGCCAAAGAGGTACTCTGTAGCTAGCCCACTGTTGCCCTCATCCAGTAGCTACTGGACACCATCTTTTCTACTCTGTGGTGACCAATCCATGCCTCTCTCTGCCTACTGTATGTAACCCCATCAGCTCCAACATGCACCAGCATGGACACTTCTCTACTTCCCTCCACCACCACCCTTGCCAAAGAAGTCAATCTAAAGTGAGAGTGCATCATTCTGCTTTTTTTAGTTCCCCCTGTGCCCTTCCAAGGTCCTTCTCTTGGCATGCAAGATGATTGGCTCTGCTGCTGGGGACTGTGCTAGAACCCTTGTGAAAACAGGCAGCTCCACCGTCTTAGCTCACTCATGGCCTCTAGTCTCCCAAGCATGTGTCCCTCCCACAGGCATGCACCTTGCAGTGTGACCAGTTCTCTAATGTGTCAAGGAGGCTTGGGTAATTACCCTCCCACTGTCACAAGCTTCCAACTCTGGATGCGCATAGCGTCTGCCTTTGCTTTTCCCACCTTTACTCCTATTCTTGCTATGGAGAATTTGGGTCAGCTATATCCATGCCCCTGATTGTCCAGCTGTGGGCAGGAATGGGTCTCTCTATATCTTTAGCCTTTCATCAAGGATTTTTCAGTAAGAGGGAAATAATTCCAAAGAAATAGGCATGAGCTCCACAATTGCATTTACTTTTTTTTTGGGGGGGGGCGGGGTTCAGGACAGGGTTTCTCTGTGTTACAGCTCTGGCTCTCATGGAACTATCTCTGTAGACCAGGCTGGCCTGAAACTCACAGAGCTCTGCCTGCCTCTGCCTCCCGAGTGCTGGCCTGACTTGTATTTACATTTCTATTATAGCCCTTCCCTGTTGTTACAGGCCTACTCCTTGCCCCTGGGTCCCCAACCCCTCCATCCTACACCTAGGGCCTACCACCTCCATTTAGTAACCCATCATCCCACCTCTCTTGTCCCCTACCCTCTACCCACCATCCTTTCCCTTCCCACTTAGCTCAGGCCTTGCAGCACCATCAGCAAGTCATTTTGTGTCCTTAACTTCCAAGGCTGACCTATACATTCCTCCCTCCACATTCCTTCCTTCCCAGAACACACTGGTTAGAGCCATCATCATTCTGAGCATCATTGTTAATTGATGTGTCGGTAATATAATTTCTAAAATGTGAATACTTGGGAGGTGAGGACAGTTGCATCTTGGTTCCCAGGCTCAGTATGGTCCCCCCGCCCCCCCTCAAAAAAAAAGCTACTCTCCAGATGTTACATATGTGGTTATGTCAGTGAGTGAGAGAATGAATGATGACATCATCTCAGAGCCCAGGATGCTCAAGGTGTTGGCATTGCTGGTGGTGGGTTAACCCAGAACTGGTGTTGCTCATCTAGTCCTTTGTGGCTCCTTTTCACAGATGGGGTTGACCGGACCTCCACAATCTAGAAACTGAAGATGAGAGTGACCGCGCTGGCCGTGAAATCGACTGCTGCGGGCCCAGTGTCAGCCATCTTCAGGGTTGCATAGAATCTTCCAAGACACTTTGCAGCCTTTTTCCCCTGGTCCCTCGCCCATTTTGATTTTGTGAGAGCGTAGGTCATCCTTGTAAACATATCAGTAGACCTGGGGTTGGTTTTGTTGTCATTTGTTTCTGTCGTGGGATGGGACGGTATGCAGGGTGGGGAGGGGACTCTAGGGAAATGTGGGGCTGGGTGGGGGTGGAAGGATGCTTGTGGCTTCCTGGATGGAAATGGGGTGGGCAAGAGTACTGCTAGGAGAGATGCAAGAGACACACAGGACGGAGGTAGCAGCCCTGCCCTGGGAAGCTTCTCAAAAGCCGGCTTCATAGTCAGACTGCAGAAGACGGAGGGTACAAGCAACCGGAGCAAGATGGTGGCTGGCCTGTTTGTGTCTCCTTGACTGGATTTCCCCGAGGCCCTGCTTGAAACAAACAGCCACCAGAGAGGGCCATATGGCAACAAGGGCAAAAGGACGAAATTCCCTCCAGCAAACTTTCAGATAAACTTTGATTTGTGTATTGTTTACATAAGAATTTTAAAGGGTACATAATGTGTAGAGTTTGGGTAGAACTTCTCTTCATACTATGGTTTTTGTAAAAGACTGATTGTTATGGATTCATTTTGTTTCATCTATTTTTATAATAGTAGCAGCGTTGTCTTTTAAAACGGCTGCCAAGCTCTGCTTCTCGGGAAGATGGATGCAGTCAAGGAGGCCTCAAGTTGCCGTCTTCCACCATGAAGTGGAGGGAGTGTGTGGATGGATGTGAGGGGTGAGGATGTGGCAAGGACACAGAGATGGCGACGCCATGTGATCAGTTAGGGATTTGCTCATAGATCACTCAGAGATGATAAACTTTGCAACCTCTTTCTGGGCTGGATTTGCATCCCACCCAAGGCCTGTCTTGTTTCCCAACCTCCCCACAGGCTCCATTCTACCATCCCTGGTCTCACTCCACAGACACACAAGTGGGTACAAGTCCCTCTAGAGAGCTCTGACTCAGAACATTTGTGATGGAGCATTTGCAAGCGCCTAAGCCTGGGGACTGTATCCCTTTTACACCATCTCTGCTGAAGAAGAATGGTCCAGCAATAGTGCCAGAAAGATCAGTGCAGAGAGGCAGAGGCACCATCATCCAAGGCGGGCTATGAAAGCAGAAGCAGGAAAGGTTAAAGTTTGTGAGAGAAATGGTGGCTCTATTCATGCACACGAGTCGGGATTTGCTGTATTATGGGAGGGAAAACACACGCACACACACGTGTGCCCATTACACAGTGAGAGGTTAGCTGTGGCATCACAGAGTCATAGCTCTAGTTCTTAAGGACAACAAAGACAACATTTCAGAATTTGATTCGGTGGAGGATATTAGAGAGAATCGAAAAGGAATTGTGCACTGCCCTGGAAAATTAGTTGTGCAAATGGGATCGTGTAAATGCTTAACCAGAGGCATGATCCAGGAGATAATATAAGGCCTGTTTATTAAATTAAATACAAGGCCTGTTTATTAAATTAGTAAATTAAAAGAGGTCAGACTGATGCCTCTTTTTAAAAATTGAGTCTAAGTCAAAATTAAAGGGATCGGACCATGCAAATGGCTGTACCTTGCCCATGGTTATTTGGTTATTTTTTTTTAAGTTAGTGAGGGGCATTCAGACTTTAAAGGCCTTAATAAAAACCCACACACCTTTGTTTGCCTGTCAAGATTACAAATGTACACCTAGCCCAGCCTTGGATGCTGCAACAGAGATCCTGAAGTCCTATTATTACAGTCCAAAAGGCCAAGGGCATCGTAAGCAGAGAGAGCTTTTAGTGAGCACAGAGGGCTTGGGTGAGCTATTCCATGTAGCACATTACAACACCAGTAACAAAAGAGCGTAGGTCTTGAAGATGCAAATCCATGTGCAGATGGAGGCAGCATGTTTAGTTTATGTATGTGTGTATATAAATTTTTTTAACCAAGTGCCATTAACACTTACCCCTCACGTACCTTTTCCAAATAAATCTCAATGTTGGGAAAGGAGCTGGGATGGAAGATCACATGTTAGGCAGAATAGGTCAAAACGTAGAAGGCCAAAGGCAAGGCCAGAGGGTCTGAGGATGTGCTTGGAGGATGCTGAGGAGGTAAACTGAGAGGAGCAACCGGATTCCTCTTCTTGTAGGAAGCAAAAGGTGTTTGGATCTGCCACATACCCATAAGGACATAGGCTACTCAGAAGCCAGATTGTGATCACAGTCGTATGAACGTGAGCCTTTTAAAAAGAAGAAGACCATAGAGTATTTGCAAATCTGAATTCCTATTTATTCCTTCATTGAATATAGAGACAATGGTTATCTGATTATTAGAGATATTATTTTGGATATGTTACTTATTAACTTGCTATGGCTGGTAACCATGATAAAGTCTGTTATTAGTAACAACATAATTCTTTTTTTAAAAAAAAAGGAAAGCTTATTTTTCATTGATTGTATAGATTTATCTACTTAGTTGTGGTTTGCTATGTTAATGTTTTCTTTTTTTTTTAAGTTTTCTGGTGATTTTAAGAGCCTCTCCCCACCTTGTTTTGAGTCCTGTGTTGACTGCAGGTACACAGCTCAATTTAAAAATCCTAAAGCAAAGGAATCTTATTTATACAAAGAATCAAACGGTTTCATGCCTGAGGCTGTGAGGGCTAGACCCGTAGGAATAAGCTGCAGTGCCTTTTTTTGTATTTACCCATTGACACCCCCCTCCCCGTGCAGCTGTTTTATATTAAATAGTAAAGGTTTGAAACTCTCAGAGTAAAATCTATTTTACTGCATAGGTTTCCCACACACACACTCTGATTTAAGCGGCATGTCTCTGCACTGTCTGAGGCACAGTGCTGGTCTACAATATCATGGGTGATGTTTTATTGGTGCTTTTTACTCATAGTGTTTTCTTACCAGAAAACAGTAGGAAGAAACACACGAACTGTGTACAAGACACGAAACATTGCTGCTGATGGTGTTTTGCTTTGTTTTGTTTTTCTCCTTCCCTGCCACATGCTTTTGAGTTTCACTTTTTTTAAACACAAATCCAGCAAGCAATATAGATGCTGCTGGGTCTGCCTGCCAAGGGCTGCTGTTTGCACCAAGCTCTCTCATATCCTGGGTTGAACTGAAGGTCTTTATCTGCTACCCAGGATGAGAGCTGCGGCTGGTCCCCACCTCCCATTCTTCTGAGGCGACACTGAGGGAAACCAGATTTTCTTTTGAGGTGTCGCTGGCTGCCTTTTACAGAATGGGGGTCTTCTGCGGGTCTTTTGTTTTTCTGTGCCTCTTGTAGCTTGTGCTGATGCAAGGTTTGTAGACCTTGTCCCCCAGAGCCTGGGTGGAGGACTGAGCTAGGAAGGAGAGGAATGTGGGTGTGGGTTCCCTAGGATGTCTTTCACTCTAGCCTGAGTGGGGGAAGCACCCTGCCCAGGGTGCTCAGGTGTGCCTATTACAAACAGAACCTGCAGCAGGATAGTTGTACATGGAGCTGTGATAACACTAATGTTGGGTTTGTTTTTTGTTTGTTTTTCTTTTTTACAACTCATCAGAGATGTTTGCAAAGTGACTTTTTTTTTTTAATTTCCTTTATCTTGACTTAAAGGTGAATGCGTATCCCTCTGGGAGGAGCAAGAAAAAAGCAGGAATGTTAGTAATGGCAAACAGAAGACTTCCTCCCTTATTAATATATAATCCTCACATATTTATACCTAACGTAAGCTGACCTTCAAAAGGCTTTCTTTCGTTGCATGCCCTGTGCAGGCATTCGTATTGTACATGCATGCCTTTTGTCCTGTTTTCCTGTATAAAGTTAGTGAACAAAGAAATATTTTTGCCTAGTTCATGTTGCCAAGCAATGCATATTTTTTAAATTTGTCATATATGGAAAGAGCATGTTTGTTACATGTAAAAGCTTTACTGATATACAGATATACTAATGTTTGAAGATGCTGTTCTTTGCAAGTGTACAGTTTTCAAATGTTGTTACCAGTGACAACACCCTTGTGGTCTAAACTTGCTACAATGTATTTATTATTCATTTCCTCCTACAGAATTAAGAATCATGGCTATATTTCATATGGTTATATTGAGAGTGAAGGGAAATGATTAATACAAGGTTTTGTAACACTGGGGTGTGTGTGTGTGTCTTTTTAACCCACTATTTTTGTAAGCACGATCAATTGGTTGTGGTTGTTGTTGTTGTGGTTGTTGTTTGTTGTTGTTGTTGTTGTTTAAAAAAAAAAAAGACTAAAGTCTTAGAAATCAGTCCTAAATGAAGAATCCCAAAAAATTCACTGGTTGACTATTCTCAGCTGATCGCGCCATGTGATGCCCACCGTTAGCCGAGGGCTCCTTTCTGAAATGCTCAGGAGAGGGTTGCCAAAATGTATGCAGTTTGGTCTGTGTCCAGAATAGTCAATAAATGCCTTGCCCAAATTAAATGCAAACTACCTTTGCAGCTATGGTTCATAGCTTTCTCCCATTATTGACTGCTTTTGACACATTTCACACCTATATCATAGCATAAACAGCCTTGGGACTTCACCTACACGCGCTCAGAATCCCACTCTAACACTTCTGATGCCGGTACGAAGATATCTAATACATGGTAAGCTCTAAGTGTCCTGGAAAGTGTGTGACTGGAGAGACAGGCTTGGGTATGAGGTCTGGCTTCAGCATTCCCTAGCTCCGTGACCTAAGGCAAGGCTCTTTATTTCTCTGTGCCTTGTGTTTGTGTTTGTGTTTTGGTCTATGATGATTCAACCTTTATGTCTTGAGACCAATAAGCCAAAGAGAAGTAAAAACAAAATATGAGAAGGAGATTATTCCCACCAATAATCCTGCAGCCCCAAAGTTCTCCAAGGTAACCTCACTTGACACCGGGTCAGTGATGTCTTAGGGTTTCTATTGCAGTGAAGAGACACCATGACCATGGCAACTCTTATAAGGGAAAACATTGATTGGGGCTGGCTCCACAGCTTTGGAGTTTAGTCCATTGTCTTCATGGCAGAAAGCATGGCAGCATGCAGGCTAATATGGTGCTGCAGAAGGAGCTGAGAGTTTTACATCTGGATGGGCAGGCAGCAGGAAGAGAGAACTGGGCCTGGCTTGAGCATCTGAAAGCTCAAAGCCCACCCCCAGTGACACACTGCCTTCAACAAGGCCACACCTCCACTAATGCCACTCCCTCTGAGTCTATGGGACCCATTTTCATTCAAAACACCACAAATGACCACACAGTAATTCCCTTTCTCCAGGCTCGGCTGCTTAAGAGACATGAAAAATCTAAATTGGCACTTGAAAACATAAATGTTCCATACATTGATACAAAATGAAATTCCTCATAAAGCTGAATCCTTATAACACAAATGAGCTATAAGACAGGACACACGAGAGAATATTGGATCTCGCTTGGAAAGGTACGAAATGAAGAGAAAGGCAAGAATAGGGAAAAGATTGGTGCGGTTAGCACTGTCCCTAGAAGGAGGCTGAGGTAGCTGGTCCTGACAGCAAAGCTACAGCTCTCCACAGTAGCCTTTGTAAGGGAATATTCAATCCTGGAGAAAGGCTCTGCATAGAGAAAAGCTTGGAGGGCATCCCACAGCGCCTGCACCAAAGAGCTGTAATTCCACTTTTAAAAAGGAATTGAGCCAGTGAGATAGCTCCGTGTATAAAGGAGCCTGCCACCAAATCTGATCTTAGTTCGACACAGGGAAACTGTATGGTGGAAAGACAGATCTAATTCTGCAAAGTGCCCTCCAATCACACACACACACACACACACACACACACACACACACACACCTGGTGAGAAGTGAGGGAACACACCTTTAATCCCAACACTCAGAAGACAGAGGAAGATGGATGTCTGGAATTCAAGGCCAACCTGGTCTACAGTGTGAGTTCTAGACCAGCCAGGGCTAAATTGATCAAAAAAATTGGCACATTGATATATTGGTATGGAAGAGGCCACAGGTAAATTAATCTAAAAGGCCACAGGTGAGTTATTAACTGATTGCCCAGTAGACAATGCTGGAGGAGTCCAATCTCTTAGGGAAGACTCCTGGCTTGTCCTATTGGTCCATCACCACATCCATCACCCACAAGAACAACATTTCAGGCACATTGGTATCCCACCGCAGACCCGCAGATAGTGTTTCACAGATGTCAACTTGAAAATCACCTGAGAGAAGCCTCTGGACATGCCTCTTGCTTGAGATAGGGATTCTGCCCACTGTGAGTGGAATCATTCCTTAACTAGGCTCTTGAACAGTGTAAGTTGAGGGAACTGAGCAGTAACACACACACATTCTTTGCTCTCTTCTGATTTTGGAAGCAGAAGTGATGCAACCAGCTCCCTGAACTGTTGCCCCTGTAACCTCCATTGTGATGGACTGTAATCTCAAACTGAGTTATACCCTTTCTCCCTCTAGTTGCTGGAGTATTTTATCACAACAATGGGAAGGGACACTAAGACACGAGATAGGAGATGTGTTTCTGCTTTCTATTTCTGTCCACATATCTTGACATGTGAGCCCACCCCTTTCATGAAGGTTTCAGCCTCTGAGCCCTTAGCAGTAGCCTTGTGGTCCCCTAATCCATTCTGTGCTTCTCATACCATTAGTGAACAACACAAGGTTTCTGGCCAACTTTTTCCATTTAACATAATCCAACTCTTTTGTGAGGTACACAAAAAATTAAACCTACACCAGCCTCATTTTACGAGATCAAGCAGACAAATTATTCTATCCAATCCCTGCAAGGTCATCATGTTCTGCTTTGCTAAGCTCTGAGGATGATCAACAAGAGGAGATGGCTGGTAGAGTTCTGCTGCCAATATGCCTCTAAGCCAGGCGGACAATGTTCTCATTACAGAAGTCAGTCTCAGGTCCCAGGGATACCTAGAAATTGGCCCAAGAATGATGACCAATTGGGCCATTAATCACTCTAAAAACTGAAAACAAAATAGGTGGGAAATGGGAAGTGGGTGTGTAGGTATGTGGGTGTGTGATGACTGAAGCCGAAGTCCTGGGAAACAAGCCTGTTTTTAGAGCACTGTTCCCAAGCCACCCCACAAACTCTCCTTTCCTGGTGGATTAAAGAAATGGAGGGTGACGTGTGTGTGTGTGGGGGGTATGTGTAAAGTGGGAAATGTAGACTAGGAAAACAGGGAGACAGGCAAGACATCATTGTGGCTGAAGGCTCTACTTGAGCAATCGATTGTTCAGTGTGTCCTCCAGGCTCCAGCCTGGCCAGTCGCACCTTCCGGCAGCCTTGCCCATGTGGCTTCTGTCCATAGACACTGACTCCTCTATGTTTTCAACTTTGGAATTCAATGTCTGAGAATTTCCTCTGTGGAATATTTTAAACTCTTAAGTGGCTTCTACTTCAAACACACACACACACACACACACACACACACACACACACCAGCCAGGAAGCATTTTGGCAAAAGTTTGAACTTTATACATTTAAAAAAAGTTTTGTTTTTAATACTGTACTCTATTTGTTGTTATTTGTTTGTTTGGAGGTTTTGTTTTGTTTGAAATTTTACTGTTTTAAGTCCAATGTAGGAGAAACAAAATTGGAGACTTGGTGAGTGACTTGGTCTCTCACCAGGACTGGTGGGACTTTAAACAAACACTCCTAGAGGATGACAGCCAGACCAAGTGTACCTCTGTTTGCTTTGACGTCCTTGGGAGAATTTCCTGTGTGTGTGTGTGTGTGTGTGTGTGTGTGTGTGTGTGTGTGTGTGTGTGTGCACCAGCACATTTACCATAAGAATCTTGCAGCTCAGTTAAGTGACAAGATGCAACGTACACACATGTGGATTCAAGAATAAAGACACATTTTTGCAGGAAATTTCCCTCTACTTATTGATAAATGAACCAAGCCAACCCCAAGGTGGAGAACACAGAGCCAACAGGTCTCTTTCATCTCTGTCCTCTGAGGCTGGGCTAGTGCCATCTCCTAAGCAACCTTGAGTAGCTGCTAGGATCCAGAATCTGTGCTCTCATTCACCTGGGGCTCAGTCCATTTTCTCCAGGTCTGCTTCTAAGGAGTTCATGTTCAACCTGCTCTTCAAAGCACAAAGATGTCAGTGTACAGTGCTAGATCTGGGCTTTGACATCTGCCCTGTACATATGACATCCTGAGAGGGAGACATAACCAGATAAACCCTTGTAAAGAGAGGACACTAGCACCAAGGTCCTCTTGGACTCATGGGAGAAGTTCAGACTTTCATGAGGTGGCTGCACTGCACCACACAACAAAACCTGAGCTGCTTGGAATGTTCCCCCACCTCCACCCCCGCTGCCAGCACTCCTGCCCTGTTCCTTCAGCTTGGATGATAAGAGCCTAGGGAAGTGTCTATTGGAGGATGAAGAAAATGGGACTGCTACCCAACTCCTCCCTAATAAGACATGATGGCCCTTACAGTCAAGATGGAGCCATGGACAGAGCTCTGCTCCAGGCTTTGCAGGGTCCCTGGAAAAGCCTCCTCATTCACTCTGTCTCTTGGAAGAGAGTGACACCCCAAATACTAAGAGTGGGGACCATAGTTAAGGGATTGTGGGTGAGTAAGACCCTCCAGTTTTTACGATCTCGCAGAAACACCTATTTGAACAGAAATTCGGGCATAACCTCTCTCAGAAGAGTGAAGAAAACCAGATGAAAATGTACCAAATCTCCATTTTGCATAAAATCAACAACACACTGAAGAGGCAGGAAGGAAGGAGGTGTCCTAATCATTCCTCCTCAAACTCCTGGTCATGTGACTTGGAGACTCTCCTACCTGGGAAGGTGGGAAGAGGAAAATCCAGGCCTTGTACTTAAAAAGCAGAGCCAAAATCTGACCAAACCTCCAGACCTGTGTTGTTAGTCAGGGAGCCTCGGGTCTGCCCCCATCGCTGCCCCTCAGTCTTGGGACAGAGGCAGATTCCACCTGCTCACTGACAGGTACAACAGAAAAATAAACACAGGACTCTGTCCTGAACTCAGTTTCAGCGCACTGTGCTGAAACCCAGCAGCATGCAGGACTTCCGATAGAGCTGAAAAACTAGGCAGAATTCCAAAACACCTGACCACAGCCCAGGGACTGTAACAAGGCACCTGGGCCCACCCAGGCCCACATCCAAAAGGGGCCCTTTTTAGACCTTGAAAAGCACAGCAAACATGAATTTGTAACAAACTTGGTCTCGAAGTGCACTCTACTAGTGAAATAGTGACAATTTACCATCCACAGACTTGTAACAAACCTGTACTTAAGGTTCCATCTAGTGATCAAACAGCAGAAGTGACCATAGGCTCTGAAGAAAAATAAGCAACCTGCTTAAAATTCCTGGAAGGAAAGCCACAGGCAGGGGCAGAATATGAAATCAGGAGTAAACAGAGCCCTCTGATGTCAGAAAACATCATATACCAACAAGCATCAAGATTATCCAGAGAG